GACTCGTCGAAACTCGGGCAGACTAAACGCTCAACGATTATAACTTCTTTTACATTCTGATTTGATGCTCATAAATTTGTTACTTAAGTAAAGAGAAGTTATCATCATTTATTTCTAAATAGACAATAAAGCTGTCTGATACATTCTACCGAACAGTCTCGGTTGTAAACTCGACATATTTTCCTTAATAATGTAATTAACATCACAACAAAAGCCATTAAATACCCCTCTTTGTTCGTGCACAGCATAAAGCACACAGACTCGTAAATTCTTTGGAAACCAGCCGTTTTATGATGACTACGACAGCGTTAATCTGAGCGGTTTAACTGCTAACAAAATTGAAATTTTACGACAAAAACATTGTATTTGTCATTATACCGGCGCGGCGGTTATAATAAAAGATGGCGGCTGTAAAACTCCGCTGATATTAACTCGAAGTTTAAATCGCGACGACAACCGATGTCACGCCAGTTCCGACTGTGTGATTAAATTTCATACATTCCGAAATTAAATTGAAAATCGGTTTAGCTAACATACAAATTGTTAGCTTCACCACCACAATTAGAATTCGAGAGATATATTCGTTAGGCATTTGTTAAATAATTCCAGTTCTTACGCGGTTTGCATGGCGCTGAATTATTTATTTTGCTTCTATATGGGTACAAAGAAAACATGTCGCAAAACGTCTAAAACATTAATTATGTAGCTCAAGAACACGCGTCGTGTATTTTGGTACAAAGGCAAGAAAGCAACGGTTCATTTAATTCGCTACAAGTAGGTCTTTATACCCATTTACATCGTATTTCTTATATGTAACAAGATACATAGTAATTACTCCATGCCGCCTAAACACACGCCTACGTATAAGGAAAAGAGCCATTTGCTTTATAATAATGAGTTTAAAACTGTTGGATTGCGGCGGCAATGTGGGAGCTATCGCACAATTTGCGGCGATGCGACTTTTATTGCAACGTCGGCTTGTGCTAAGTGCGGTCGGGTCGAGGGGCTGCCCAATGGATGGGTGTTCCGGCTCTCGACAACTATTTCAAACGAAAAAAAAAAATACTTGAGGCGTGGATAAAACTTTATAACAAGTCCTCTGAGACTCTGGAAGAACTCGAATAAAAATCTCACTAGACGCACCAAGCTTTTAGTAATAATTTTTTGTTTGGAATTCATTGTTTTGTTACACTCATGTGTGGATGGGGCATCATCAAGTTCAAGATTTAAGATAATAAGCAGCTAGATTTATTTAAAGAAACATTTTTCAGGGCTATGATAAATAGAAAATTCGACTGTTGCCTAAAATAAAAACTTTCAATACCTTTTCCTCTTATAGAATAAAAGCTTTCGATATCTTGATTCGAGTTCAGACAAAATTTTCCTATTTCCCAAGTAGGGAGCAACTGTCTTATCGGAAAGTAATCGTATGTCTTCCCTGGCTACGCCGGAGTAGCTCGTAGAGGTTCTACGACTACGTAGTAGTCATAATGTAGGTAAAACAGTCTTCTACTACGACGTAGAATACTAAACTTAGAGGTTCTTTTAGTTTTTGATTTAAGGGACTGATTTTAAGTCTAGAAAAACTTTGAAATAGGACGAGAAAATATCAATTTTGTTGTTATTATAAGTGCTAACTTAAAGTCTATAATCAAATAAAAATATAATATTCATTCACGATCGTGTCAAGGACACTAACGAGAACAATTAAATGAAGCAAATCTAATACGAAATAAGGAGAACGGCCTCGTCTGCCTCCGTAACTACTATAATACGGGGTATAATAAAATAAAGGGAAAAACTCAGCATTCCTCGGAGACGCGTTATGAAATATGCTAAGTATGGCATTCCGTCTCCCCTATACCGCACTACGCGAACTAAGGTTCAAGGCCACATACACTGAACACGAGAACCTTTTGCCGTACTAATTAGAACTTTTAGGAGCACACGTACATATAATATTACATTATTTTTAAACGTTGTGTGTTTAGTATAATGTTCGGTTTAACAAAGTTACAGTTTAGGTATAGTTAGATTTTATTGAAAACTATTGTTATTATTTTTATGTGATAGGTTGGCAATCGGGCCCATGGACAGTGGACACCCGCAAAAACGGGGGTGTTACGAGTGCGTTGCCGACCTTTTGGGAATTAGGGACTTGGAGATTTTTAGGATTGGGGAAGGAGAAGGACTGGGCCTCCGGTAACCTCACACACACGGTGAAACACAACGCTATGGTTATTTAATGCCGCGCGCCGGTTTGCTTTGAGGACGTGGTATTACTCCGGTCAGGCCAACTCATTCGTGCCAAAGCATGGTTCTCCTACAGTTATGTTATGGACCAAAGGTAAGCAGAGGTGAATATAACTTTTGTGTTTGAAGCTATACCTATCATAATATTATGTGAAGTGTAACTTAAGTTATATAAACTTAAAATTAAATGTGGTTAACTTAATTGGGTTATATTGAATTATGGTCGCTTTACGTTTCATTAGCGAAGCTACGTTATTCAGGTCAGGTCACACTGACTGTTATTATTATTTTTTCGACTACTGTTTATTCTATTAAAGTTCTTTATTTTTACTTTAATATCATAATTTTACAAGAAGTTTTGTGCATTTCACAAGAAGAGTTTTAGATATTTTAGAAAATCTTTAAAAGCTCATAGGCTCAATTTTTAAGATTTTTTAATATATAATAGACATTCTAACTAGCTGCCTACACTGAAAATATGTTATCACACCGTATTTAGTATTAAAGTGTTCTCAGGTTCTATTTCATAATTAATCATCAAAACGATTATTTGTTATAGTAAATTTTAAATTATCCGAAATATTAATATTTACTTGCAGTAAGTAGCATACTACACATGCATACTATACTTGCAGTATGATAGGATATGCACTAAATAGAGCATGTCATATCATATTGGTTGGACCAAGCACCGAGCCTTGAGGAACACTTTGTGTAATGACATCCTATACGCGCAAATTGATCAGTTACGGTACTTGACAGCCCTTTGAAACCTTCGGTCTAGTATGTTCTCACATGTTATAAAATACACGTCGTACTTTTAATACCTACTACATTTTCATCATCAATAATAACACAATCAATGAGATTTGCTTCACTTAGTGCCAAGAAGATTTGTAGATTTTTTATTAACTTCTACCTAAATGTTCTAAAGATGAAACAAGCCATTTATATGCATATTTATGATATTAATGTTTAAATAGGAAATGAAGTTTGATTGTTAATTAACCTATCTTCTTCAACTTCAACAAAACATTCGTTTACAAATTATGAGAATATAAATTGGGTGGCATATTGCACAGTACAGTTAGTACAGTAGTTACAGTATTATTAAGAAATGGTAACACGATATAACTATGATCAAATGGACAATTAACAGCGTTTCCCACTGAATTGAAATTTTATAATAAATATGAAAAATATTTAATATAAAGTCAAATCATTTATTTCAATTATACCATTACAGGCACTTTTGAACGTAAAAATATTTCTAATGTAAACATGTAAACAGCCTTTATAGTAAATACGTATAGTATAATGCTACAATACATAATGATATGATTACTTATTAGGATTGGTCCTTTAAATCAATTTGTCAAATTTGTTTTTAGTACTATACCTTGTCAGTAAAAAATACGCGATTACAAAGTGTATGAATCTACAAAATTTTTCATCAAACGTTTTCTAGGAGTGTTAAACTTGTCATACAAGGAAAAAATTTACCAATAGTAATTTGTACTATCAGATATTAAAATAACTCAAACGTAATAAAAAAAACAAATAAACTCATTATTTGATTTTTTATTACGTAATTAAATTATAGGATACTTAATTAAAATCTCATTTCGTTTAAACGTCACCTTTGAACTCGTAAATAACTTCCAAAAAGTTTCATAACAATTAAAACTCTTAAAAGTATAAACGAAAGCAATTAAAGTGATACACGCAATAAAGGAAATAAAATCGGAATGAAAGTCGAAGGAAATAAACAAATTACCTCGATACCACAAAGGAATTTTACGCATCAATGTTTTTGTAAATACCATTTCAATATCTGTGTTTTTGTTTATATAATAACTCTGGTTGGATTCAACAGAATAATAAGAAAATTCAACTTAGATATTAAACATTATTTATCAAAAGTCAAAAGCTGTTTTGTCGAATAAATATTATTGGTAACTTGTTTTTATAAGATACCTCAGTTGTCAATCGTGATCTTTATCTGTCTCTAAGTACCGGAGCAACGGAGCGTGAAATTATACTGACAATAGTTTTTTCCTTAAGGAAGAGAGTCGGCAATTAGTGACATACAAAAGAAAACATTCGAACATTACTATTTCCTCTTTTTGGATAAAATGAAATGTTTTACTATTTAACTTTTTTTTTTAGAAGCACAACTTGCGATTTTTGTATTACGTGTTTGTGTATCTTACAACTGTATTTTTGAGCACATATCTCTAACTGATTGAGCTCTTATTTTGACCACTAAAGCTAAGCCGTTTGAACTTGCTGTAAATGAAAAAAAAATATCTCTAAATCATTTAGTCCCGGAACTCATTTTGGACCCGAATAAAATCTAGTCTTATTTATTTTAATTACTTACATTACCACTGCATGTAGTGCAAATATATATTTTGATGTATAAATAATCCTCACATAAGGTTTTCTATCCTACCAATGTTTATATATCACCAAAAAAAAAAATCTTCCTACTTATCATAGAAATCGCAGAAACCTTATTGTGTGCGGAATAACAGGCAATTGTGATACGGCTTTGGCCACATACAAATGTGTTGTGTAACAAAATAAGCAAAGTATGACCTTATCAAGGACTTACATCTCCCGGGTATAAGATAACAGATGTAAATGCCGCAGTACAAGTAATAAGTTGGAAACTTTAGTTTAGGAAGTATCGTGAAACATCAATCCACGCTGTATTACCAAAATTCACTTGAATAGGCCGATTAATGGCGCTACAGCGGCATATAGTTTCCCCGGGGAATGTGAGTAACGATGCCGCGCCGATCCCAGCTAATAGTTTAATAACACTATCCATGAAACTTCACGAAGATTACCCTTCGATTTTATGGTAAGATGAGATCAAAATTTCGAGGTTCAAAGGAAGTTTTTATGTAGTGTTTATTTATGGGTTATTTTGGAAGCGTTATGGGGATTCTTTCCTTTATTGTATTGTGTAGTTGGCAGTAAAAGTAAGTGTTTCGTGAGGGAACATTGGTTTATGGAGCCTAGGGAACGGCTTCATATAGGCGGTTAGGTCTTATAAAGTTTATGTACCATTGCATCATTGTGGCGTGAAAAATTTAAGGACATTGTAAAAATATTTAACTATATGTCTATAACTACGCAGCAAAACTTGAAGTTCAAACGAATTGATACAGTCAACAAATTATGTAAATTACAAAACGTTCTATCTAAATGAGACTAATAGTCCGGTTTCGCAGATTTATTTTTTTATCCTGGTCAATATATCCAACGTATTTTTTTTATAAATCTTCACCGTTTTCCCGTTTGGAGACCTTGTCGTGATAATAATGCAAACAACAAACAAGATTTGTCCAATACGGTGCAGCCCTTCAGCAGATACGCGCGTACAAACATTTAAGCGAATTATTTTTATTTAAATCTAGGCAGATGAACAACTAAAAATAAAATAGTATCAGATTGAACCGGTTCTTGTGAGAGATGGACGTTTTCACGTGTTTATTATAAAGTTGATTAATGTTCAAAAGACGAAAAGTTTAATAAATTAAATATCATTTTTCAAAATCGAAAAACATTCTCATGCAAATTAGGTGAGTGTTATTTGAACAATATTATTTTTTATAGTGCAGTTTTATTTAAATTAATCTGTGTTTATCTACTGTTAAAAATAAAATTATTTAAATATTGATATTGCATCTGTTGTGTATAGTTCTAAGCATAAGCTTAAAACCATTTTACAGCAGCATTTGGTGATTTTATTAAAAGTAATCAAATCTTTATACTTAAGTGTTAATTTGGATTTAATTATACTAATTATTCACTAATTTTGTCATAAAGCTTAAAGATACAATAATAAACAATGCAAAAAATCTTGTCATAAGTTTTATATTATGAACTTAGTAAAAAGTTAATTATTTTCCCTTTTTAATGTAGTAAAATAATAAACAATAATCACATTTTTATTAACTGATTTTACGATGGTTTTCGTAGGTAATTTTACTTATTTTTATGTTTTATCTAAGGCCAATACTTGGTTTCGTCCCCAATTGTTATCAAATCTACTATTTTATTTGCGTACCTGCTTAGCTGAACGAGGATATGATTCCTCAATTCCTCTCCCTCCCGATGAGGCCCAACCACCGCTGCCTTTTTGTAATAGACGAACGATTTTCTGCAAATCTTCTGATGTATATTATCAAAGATAAGCCTTCGTTTGCGCCATCGATAGTATGGATGTTTATATTGATAACAATTTTTTTAAACCATAGAACTAATAGAACTGTAGATTTTGAAAGTTCGAAATAAATATTAGATTGATTAGGTATTCTTAATTCTTTCACTTAGTAAAGATCATTTTGCTGTAATATTTTTAAAAAGAGTAACCATGGAGTCGACAGACTGACACTATATCTTCAAAATTTTTGTTTGACGTTTAAAAGTGCCTGTAAAGGTCTAATTGGAATAAATGATTTTTGACTTTTGACTTTTTGACTTAATAAATATATTATTTATATTATAGCACTATTATGTAAGTATTGTTTGAATAAAAAACAAATACATACATATATTAACATGTCTATTTTTGTTGCTAATCTAGTCTTATAATAATCTAGTTTATGTGTGAAAAAGGAAACTTTAACAGTTTGAGTTTGGTAATCGCTATCATCCGTTGCGTATAAATTTTGAGTCGTATTGTATTTTAACATAATGATTAAAATTTAAATATTTTGAATAATTCTGTTTAAAAAAATATATATCTATCTCTTTCATTTCTCAAAAGGCTGGAGATGTTGTGTACATTATTTTGATAGAACCAGTTTTTATCTTTATGTTAAAAATGTACCTTACAGTTAAGCCTTGAAATACTTTTGTAATATTTAAATTATGATTACGCATCTCTGTTACATGTTAGACCTTATCTATGCTTAGAAACGAATTAGTCAATAAAATTGATATTTGTAATACATATAGACATCAATATAAGGTTGTCTGCTCATACAATTTTGTATTATAAAATAATCTCAATTGTTACAGATCATGCGACGATATAACACGTATTCAATATGTCTTATATTTGCTCTCAGTATTTCTCTCATTATTATCGGCACTCAATATGTCGACAATACTCTTTACTTCAAGTCTAGTGAACACTGGAAGAGTATAAAGGTAATAATCAAAGTAGAAGATGGTAAGGACACATACATGCAAGAAATACCCATCAAACTACTCCACAATGTTAGCGAAGCTGCGACAAATAAGGAAGACATTTACCCTATAACGAATACCAACCAGTCTCATGGCTCAGCGCTCATTAATAATGCTTCCATCTTGACACATAAAGAAACACATTTGGCTACAGATATCGAAAATATATTGGATAGAGCACGGTCAGACATTCGACAGCAGCTCTCTAACTTCAATTTATCATATTCAGGTGCTCATAGCTTAGAAGATTTAGTCATGGAATCTGGAGGACATCCGATAAGGACGCTCGTTATATCATCATGGAGATCAGGGTCTACATTCCTCGGTGACCTTGTAAATTCTATCCCCAGTAACTATTATCATTATGAACCCCTTCTAATGTACGGAACTAAACAACTGAGGAGACCAACTGATGCGACAGAAGCTTTGAGCATTGTTAGGCGTATGTTCAAATGTAATTTTGAAGGTTTGGAGGAATATTTTGAATTTGAGAGTAAAGATTTGTCTCTGTTTAGCCACAGTACTAGGTTGTGGGACTATTGTAAGAATGAAAAGAGCAATGACCTCTGTTTTAATGCTGACTTTATATCAAGAATGTGTAAACTATTTCCATTCCAAAGTATGAAGCTTGTGCGGTTAAGATTAAGTCTTGTCGATGAAATATTGAATGATAACGAGTGAGTTGCTAATTAATAATTTGTAACATTTTGGCAAATTAAAAATGTTTTGAGGTACATATTTACTATTTTGGTAAAGTAAAATGAATTTATTTTGTGTGTTTCAGACTTAATGTTAGGGTCATTCTGTTGATGCGTGATCCCCGTGGTTTAATGCAGTCCAGACGGCACCGGCGATTCTGTGAGCTGTCCTCAGACTGTTGGGAGCCATCACTTGTGTGTGCTGACATGATTAGTGATTATGTTGCGGCTCGGAACATAATGCAGCGATATCCAGGTCGGCTATTGTGAGTAATTTGCATCAGCAACTGAACAAGTGACTTTTTCTTAAAAAAAAAACGTTGCCCCACACTAAGATATTCTCCTGTGTCGTGGGTGCGTTTACAAACATACAATTTCACATACACATCACACCCAGACCCATAACAACAATCTGTGGATCACCCCAAGAGTTGTTTCATGCGGTACCGTTTTATCACCAGTTTAACTTTATTGGCCCAAAATGTTTAGTTAATTACCAAAGCGTAAGCGACCAATTTTGAATCATTGACAACATTATCTAAATCAACATAAGCACTTAATAAATAATAAAAAAAAAAAAAAAAAAAGCCTTTTATTTCTTGCAAAATTACTTACAAAGATATGAAAATATTTAAGTTATTTAACAATGGTTCCGTGTGCATTGTGACAATATTATACATATTTCCTATCAGTATTTTTTATAAAAGTTAAGGAAATCATCATTATAGGTATAAATTTAATTACTGATTCATTAGAATAATAAGTATTAAAATAATTTTAATAAATTAAATTACAATAAATTAAATCAAATTCAATTTCAATAAATTAAATTAAATTACACTTATAATAGATAAAAATTCAATCTAATAGTATTTATTAAGTATCCAGTATACATCATGCAGACATGCAAGAACCCCTCTTAAGTGAGGGTGAAGGCCTCCTCCAGACTTTTCCATTTATCCCTATTTTTGGCAACTGTTTTCCAATTTTCACCAGCTATCTTTATAATGTCGTTGTCCCATCGAGTTAAAGGTCTACCTCTCTTTCTGATTCCTCTGGGACCCCGCCATAATGTCAGTCTGTAGGTCCAACGACCATCGATTAACCTAGCTACGTGACCAGCCCAACGCCACTTTAACTTTTGTGAGAAGTTTAGGACATCTATCAGTTTATTCTTTTCCCGTATGATATTGTGTGGGATTTTTTGTATTTTTCTAACATTTGTAATGCTTCTTTCCATAGCTCTTTGGCAAGTTGTAATCTTATTTTTTACACGTAAGGTGTATTTCCATGTTTGACAGCCGTAGGTTATAGAGGGGAGCAGGCATGTATCCATTAGTTTTTTCTTTAAATTCATAGGCGTTGATCCTTTTAATATTTCTTTAAGGCTCCAGAATTTTTTCCATGCACCTAAGATTGTTCTTTCAACTTCCAGTTCGTTGCTTTGTTTTCCAAAGGATACTTGTTTGCCCAGATAAATGTAACTGTCTACGTATTCTAATGGTGTTTGATCGAGATATACAGGGTGTTTTTTGCTGTTGGACATAATTTTTGTTTTACTTAGATTCATTTCCAAGCCTACTTCATAGCTCATAGTTTTTAGTGAGTGTAACATTGATTCCATCTCCTCAGCACTCTCGGATAGTAGAATAATATCATCGGCAAATCTAAGATGACTGATGAACTTACCGTCAATGTTCAGCCCTGTCCTGTCCCAGTGTAGTTTGCTGAAGACCATCTCTAGTACTGCTATAAAAAGTTTTGGAGATAGCGGGTCGCCTTGTCTTACACCTCTCTTTATGGGTATCCGTGGACCTATTGTTTCAAGTTTAATTCTACTTGTGCAATTGTTGTACATATATTCTATGACTTTTATATATTTGTGTTCAACGTTTTGTGATCTTAAGGCGGTCCATATAGAAGAGTGTCGGATTGTGTCAAAGGCTTTCTGGTAATCGATGAACACCACGTAGAGTGGTTTCTGATATTCAATATATTTCTCAATTATTTGTTCTGTCGCATGGATGTGATCTATTGTAGAATATCCTCGTCTGAAACCAGCTTGTTCTATCGGTTGGTGTTCTTCAAGACTCTTACTAATCCTCTTTTCTATTATCGATGAGAAGAGTTTGTAGAGTGTGGGCAACAGACTGATAGGACGATAGTTGCCTATATTCGTGGGATCTCCTTTCTTGTAGAGTAGAATCATGTTCGACTCCGACCATTGAAGAGGCGTGACGCCTGAGTCCAGTATAGAGTTGAAGAGATGGGTCAGAGGAAGTACCAGATGTTTACAGCCTATTCTTATTGCCTCGTTAGTAATTCCGTCAGGGCCAGGGCATTTTTCTAATTTGAGTCTCTTTATTCCTTCTATAATTTCTATCGCATCTATCGTTTTTATCTTACACATAAGCACTTACGTTATGCAAATTAATTAATTTGAATTTAAAATTAAATAAAAAAACATAAATAGTAATAATCGAATTTTTCATTTTTTAATGACAAACAAGTTTACATCGCTCCACGAGTTTTGATGAGAGATTATTCCGCATCAAACATTTTGACCCGTTTTTGTTAATATACATATTTCAGAGTGGTACGTTTTGAAGATTTAGCTTTGAAGCCAGATATAACCACGCAGAAAATTCTGGACTTCATGAGAGTCGATGGAAGAAAGGCGTTTGACGAGTTCCTTCAGTCCCACACCAATATGGAGGTAGCCGGTGTGCACTCCACTTTCAAGGTCACTCGAAACATTCCTTTTAAATGGAAATACACGTTGGATTATAACTACGTTAAAGATTTACAGGTTTGTTGCTGTTTTTACTTTTGCCATAAACAACGGTTTTTTTTGCTTCATGTGTGTGTTTAAATATTTTTGTATGACGAAAAAAACATATTTCTCTTAACAATTCTTAACTTATTAAGTAATAATCTTGTGCTTCAGATGCATACTGATTTGTATTATAAAAATATTTATATTAAATCATGCTATCTGCCAAATTCACTAAGGATAGTGTAAGTATTATTATAAGAAGGGATAAACAAGCAAGCCACTCCTTGCTATCAATAAAAAGCAAAAAGTTTATAAATATTTTTTGTCAAACCCAATAAATAGTAAATATAATGGAATTTGAAAATAAGGGAAGATAAATTTAAATTTAAATCACCTGTGTTAAAAGTCTGTTTTTTATATTCCAGATAGCTTGTAAAGAGGCCATGCGTTTATGGGGTTATAAAATGGTGTACAACGAGACGCATATGATGAGCAATGAGTTCAACCCCGTAGAGGATTATACCATCTCAAAATGAGCACACCATACATGGCTCAGTGAACATTTTACTCAAAAAGATTACGGCAGTACTGTTTAGACGTAGAATTCTCCAATAATAATGTGCCTTAGCGTTTGTAATAAATTACTGGAGTATCTGTTTTTTAATCAACTGCCGAAAAAACCTGTAATACAACTGTAGCAGGTCGAAAAAAATGACATATCCTCGATTTTTTTTTTTGTTATTGTTGGTTGCTTTTGACTGTTAAGTTTTAAAAAAGATGTAATAAAGACTTAGTTTCTTAATTGGTTACATATTAGTCGTGTATTTATTTACTGTTAAAATAACTGTCGTGCTTATCTTCAATTTGGGTTACACAGATACAATCCAACATCAAATTACGTGAATCTGAAAAGGCTCTTTCGCTTTTTCTACATTCATCAATCATACTAGGTTTGCTTTTGATTTCAGCCTTTTTACTTACCGCTGCATTATATTTTATTACACACACACATGCCCCGGCACAATCGCGTTCACAGCTGTAGTTATTACTAATTACGACACCAATAATATGCATTAGTGCACTTAATTGGTTCTCTGTCCCAAATCACTAGTTGAACTCAATAAAATAGATGCCATTCACACGTGTAAAGGTATTTTGCATATAAGCGATAATGTTATGAAGAGTTTAAAGTGTAAACAAAATTTACTCCTAAAGATGAGGGTACTAAGAATGCGTTTTAGTCGTATGTAGGTTAACATAATCTTTATTATCTATGTAACAAAGCCCGTATTTACCTGCATTCTTGTTGAATAACTCTTAAGTCAGATACTAAAGTTATCATATTTAAAAAAAACATTGAAATTATCACATAATTGTTATTGGCCAGTTTCTATTTTGTTGTATTAAAGCCCTTCGCTATGGCAGCTGAACGACTAGCAATACATTCATCGTAAATTTCTTGGAAAGTTTGAATAACTAAATAGCAATAAATTTCCAAAATTAATGAATCTGATACGCTTGTATTAGATTCATGATCATCAGATGTGACAGTTACCTTTCTACATAAGCCTTTTCCGTTTCTGAGTGTCGCTATCCTACTCTATTCTATCAAGTGAATATAACTGCTCTACTTCTCGTATCCTGTATTGGTTTGCAATACCAAATTTAACCCAGTAATATGTCTCAGGCTGCACTTAAATATCTATTCATACATCTGTATCTGATGCAGCTTCACATGGGACTATCACGTTCAAAATGAACGTGCTTTACGTAAAATCGTCGCTCTGTCGCCGGCCTAACTGGACTTTATATCGTCCACAATTTGTTGCTATTGAAATGCTAAAGCGATGTCGCAACGATTTGGCGACTGCGCTCGAATGTTAAACGGTTGCTCTACTTTATTATTTGGATAGTCAGCTCTGATGTGACTCATTACGCTTGATGCTCTACTGAGACTTAGGTTACATAGTTTTTGAAGAAAACTTACATGATTTTTGTAATGACAGACTGACACTTTGTATCTTTAAAGTTGTGTTGACGTTCAAAAGTGCCTGTATGGGTCTAATTGAAATAAATAATTTTGACTTGACTTAATGTTCTAAAGAATTTGAAACGGTGGGAGCTTAAAGTGTGGGACAAGTATACTTCGGAACGAATGGATTGACTCGACCGGAATGATACCATGTCCTTGGAGAAAACTGGCGAGAAACCAATATTACGTGTGAGTGAGGTTACCGAAGGCCCAATCTCCATGTCCTTAATCGTTAAAAGGTCGACAACGCACACATAACTCCCCCATTGTTGCCATGGGCGGCGCTGATTGCTCACCATCAGGTAATCCGTTTGTTCGTTTGCCTTCCTAAAACATAAAAAAGTAAACATATATCACAAAATTTAACAATTATTTTGTTATGTTTTGCCATAATTTTCCTCATGTTTTACTAAAATACCTTCGTTTAACATTGTGGATGCTACATAGTCCAATATGACAAGACATTTCAGAACCCTAATTTCAGCAATCAAATTCAACCCAACAGAGATTTAACAGCAAAATGAACAAATGACAATCATGAGAACTAAGACGGTAGAGGTTTAATTGCACCGAGATTCTGTAGATGTAGAGTATAATTTATGGGTGTAACATACAAGTACACGGAGTAATCAAATAACTAGCATCAATAAGCGGCGTGTGTATCCACGGCGGCGGGCGGCGCGCTACTGATTAATGAATATGGAACGTTCCTTGCTTCATTCGAATTCAGAATGATCCCGCCCCACGCCTTTAACGACAAACCAAATTAATATTTAGTTATATTACATTCACTTTGAACTTGTCTCATTTGTTCATCGGCGAAATTGTACCTTTGATGTACGTTCAATGCAAACCTAGTCTGTGTTGACTAGGTTTAATTGATTATTATTTGCCACCTACAGCTTTTGCTGACGGTCTCGCCGTGTAAAAAACTTATTTATCTTATCTCATTGAATAGGTACTGCACCATGTTTTTGTGTTAGTTCAGTCAATTACTGCGAAAATCCATTAACAAAAAATACACACGTGTAAAACATGGAAGGTTAAATATAAAATTTACTGAGACAGATTTTTTATACTTAATCATTTATATTTATTTAAGATATATGCCTTATCGATAGATATATATTATGACACATGTAATGAGCCACGTATTTCAAAAACAGTAGGTGAAATTTTAAGAAAATGTAACTTCTAAGTCACAGTAGTCTCTCCTCACCTGCCAACGGAAGCTTTGTCTTAACAACACAAATTTTCGCACCTGTTTAATAATATAACGATTCATATTGATGGTACATAGTCTTATTTAAATTATTTACTATCTCTGTGGCGAAAATCTTAAAGAGATTTTGTTACATTTGCATGTTTTCAACGGATTATATCGATGGGTGGTTTTCAAATTTGCATCTCAATTTCTCACTTCTAAGTTTCAAAGGGTTATTATAGATTTTCGTAAGTCAAATCTACTTCTATAACCGTCATCATCATTATCAGCCTATAAATGCAGACTGCTGAGCAAAGGCCACTTCTCACACGTATTAATCCCCATATTTGAGCATTAATCCCCACGCGCTCAAGGGAGATTGGCGATTTTAAACATACTCATTAATTTAAGTCCACGTTTCCTCACAATGGGAAGCGGATATCTTAAGCTCCAGGTCACCACGACATAATTCTATAACCAATCAGCCAAAAATAGATCATTTTTGTATTTTAAACTGGTTAAGTTTCATCATGTTCTAAAGTGGAGACCACGTCTAGGCAAACGTAGTGTAGGGCGCCCTCCAGCTAGGTGAGCTGATGACATGCGCAGGGTGGCTGGCAGTAGTTGGATGAGAAGAGCTGAACATACATAACAGCTCAGTGGCATGCAATAGGGAAGGCCTATGTCCAGCAATGGACGACATCAGGCTGATGATGATGATGATGAAGTTTCATCACTCAAATGAATCACCAAGTGTTAACTTTTACTATTTTTGCTTTTCCCGAGAACATTTCACAAACCCAGAACAATGTACAAGTAAAATATACAAGTGAAAATATAGGATGCATTAAAAAATTTCATGATAGGCATCGTATTGTGAGGCCAGGTATCGTATTAGCGGGAATTACTTATACCCACATCTATCAAAGCTAACAACACACTAACAAGTCACTACATATTGAATTTCGCTTCTTAATGAAATCAGATAAAAAAGAGTGTGTCTACGCTCGAGCCAGAACAATTACTCCTCTTAAAATGACATTAAAGCATGGCTATAAATCGCGCGTTTTTCTTATTCCGGCCGAGCATTAACACAAACATTTACAAGCCTCATAGCTTTTAATACGAATCTAAACAATACAGAGTGACGGCCGGGAGCGTTCCAAATTACAGCGCAGACAATTTTTCTCGTAACATCTGCACAAGCAATCCAAGCCTCATCCCGTTCCGAACCTATTTTATTTACAGCAAACAATTCTTTTGATAAATCGTTTTTAATCCGAACAAAAAGCAGGATTATTCCAATTTGACGAATAAAAAGATTTTCATAATGGAATTAGTTCATTTGGAATCCTCGTGAGAAATGAAGGCGGACATTGAAAATCTCTCGCGATCTCGTTAGCATTGGAATATTCTATGAAGATTAAACGTTATTCAGTTTGATTTGAATGCGAACGTGCCTTTTGTCATACGATTGCACTGAATGGCACCGTCTAATGGTCGGCAAATGAGTGCTTTTGAAGCCGCCATGAATATGGAAGACTCGCTCGTGTTGCTTCTGCTGTTCCCGTCCTCCCTTCGTTGTTCTTTCTGCTTCATCTATTGTTGTATGTAGATTTAACCCATCTAGTTTGCAATTGTATTATTGAGACAGGTATTTACATCAGTTTGCCATTGCGCTATTTAATTTATATCGATAAAACATAAAGTTAAACCAAAAAATACGTTTGCACATACTTTATTTGTTTGTCTTATTGCAAAGGTTTGATGTGTCTATGTTTCACAGACGAATTTCAAACATTCGTCTAGAAAAAGAGAAATATTTACCCAAAACGTACTCAGACACGAAAGTAAACACGTTCGAAGCCCGGGAATATTCTCACCGCACACAAGGGTCCAATCCGCCGTGCAAATAACGGCACAGCTTAAATAAAAGCAGTATGACAAATCTGTGGTATTGGAACGGATTACTAGTGTAATCCGTAATCAAGCGGCCGTCAATCCAGTGGACAATGTGATTTATGCATTTCTAGAGCTCCATTACGTCAGTATTGATGGATGGGGTAACTAAATAGAACTGGTAGACTGACCCGGTTGGGTCATTTGGCTAACTAACAGAGCTCTCGCTGCAGGTGACAAACACTGTTACAGTCACTAACGACATCATTTATACGTGTTCTTGTTGTCTTGTTATCGAACCTACTGTGTACGATGTCCTAACTGAATCATTCAGGTTAATTGAAGTATGTGTTAATAGTTCTAAGTTAAGAATCTTATATGTAATTACAATTTATTATATG